CTTGTAAAGAGAAACGAACTTCTAATGAACTTGCTACATAAAACGAGAGTCTATTGGTCTGGAATAAGTGCGTAGGTGATATACAACATTGGTGTTCTCTTTTATACAGAAATTTGAATTATTCAGTTAGCATTCATATGTTTTTGTTACTCTTAATTTTATTTAAAAACTTGATCTAAAGGATAAGAAAAAAACTTTATATGAATATCTAAAAATAAATTTGTTTTATAACCTTAGAGAATTTCAGATAATATGTATGTACAATATTGTACAAATTCTCTTCCAACTTATAATAATAATAGTTATTATATAAAAGATTAATTGAAGATTATTTAAAATCTTTGATAGTTTACATAAAAATTATAGTAAAAACGTGTATTTCAATAAGGTAATTCCTATATTAGACATACAAACACTTTAATTTTCTATTGTTTGGAAAAAAAAAACGTAATTAATTTAAAGGATTTATTGTATTTAATAATTTAAATATTAATTAATTATTAATTATTTTTTAATAATAATAATTACAAAAATATTTTCAACTGAAATCTTTCCGTCAAAAGTTTCTAAATATATTGGAATATTTACCTATTACCGTGAAAATTAAATTAAATAAAGTTTATTTCTTATTTTCACAGAAAATTCACTAGTCGCACATTTTGTATATGCTTCATTATTATTTCATTAATTATCAATTGAAATAAACTACTTACAATAGCCATTTGATGAATCACCAAATTCGCATAATAGTAATAATTTATTTCCTGAAAAACACAAATATTTTATTTTGTAGAAATTTTAACTAATGAAGTTTACATTATCTACTATAATTTGTAATAATGATTCAAATTAATTAAAACATAATATTTACATTTCGAGCAAATAATTTACCGTTAATATTGACAGAAAAAACATATTATTTACAGTAATAATTAATATTTAGGTTTAAAAATTATAATACTGTATTGTATTTTGACCAAGTAATTAATATTAATTGAATTATTATAAAAAATAATTTTTTATTTCATTTATAGATTTTTTTTTACGAATGTACAAAAAATAGTTTTGCTTGTTAAAATAATTTGAAAGTTTTTATATAGAATTATTAATACATTCATCATGATCCATCATGAAAAATACTCATTTTGAATACATTTAAAAATTGCATTAATATTACTAAAAATATGACATTTAAATACAATTTTAAAGCTATTTTTTGTACAATCCAGGAATTATTTAAAATTTTAATTTTATTCTTTTTTCATTTATGTTATAAAGAGAAAACAACATCAAATTGAAATTTCTAATGAAAAAGTACTATAATAGAAGAATTAATAATAAAACTACAAATAAAATATGTAATTTATAATATCAGTTCATATAAAATTTCAGATTTTTAAATAATAACTTTTTGTAATATATTTGTGTAGTTGAATTTTTCAACATTTTGGTTGCTGTAATATTTATTATATTTAAATGTTTATTGCTGGTAAATAATACAAAAAAGATGATATAAAAAACATAATTTAAATTTGTTTTGTACTAGTGGCGCCTCGTTTACAACTAAGATTATATGACCGCTCCACACTATTTTACGAAGTGCAAAGGATATGGCGGATCTATCCGCCGTCAGTCCGCAATGAGTTAACTCTTTTTAAATTAGAAAAAGAAAACAACTTGAAATTTTCACGAAAACTATATATTAATAAAAATAAACAACGAATTAAATATGCTATTTATCAAATTAGTTTAAATGAAAATGAAAATTCTTAAATAGAAACGTTTCTTTTTAGAATAGTATAAACTGGAACATTTGAATTTTGTATATTCGAATGGAATTTTGCTCAATTTTTCGTTATTTTATTTACTGTTACACCTGTAAATACTCAGATTTTAACGGGAGGTGCAACAATAAAAAAATTATGATCGAAAACAGAATAGCAGGAATCGCGGTGACAATGAGCTTCGGAAGCGGCTTAAATCCGAAAAGCACGACAAAGCGTTGTGTAACGAAGTCGCACAAATTCCGTGTCAAAGCTTTGTGGGGTGCAACGAGCAAACAAACGAACTGTGGAACCATTGCCATGCAAATTCGCCCCCGCGACTCTAAATATAGAATTTATTTTATTCGGATTTGCATGTCAATGCCGCCTCCTCCGTCCACTAGCAGACTGGTACTAAACAATTGCATGCCCGTTCCAATTAGCACGTCCTGTACCTCACACTTGTCACATAGACCATCCGTATCCACATCCATTCACTGTATGGATTTCCGAAAGAAATCGCACTAAATTCGTGGAGGCGCAGCTCGTAATTAATGTGTTCCTTAATTACTATGTTAATTATAATGACGACCCTCGCTGTTTGCGAACGTGCTTATGTAATATTGTGCGCGACACATGCGGTCCGCTAATGCATGTAATTAAATAACGTGCCCACGACTTAATAAGCCCTGTTTCGTAACAACTAACCCCTGGACCATCTCTCTCGCCTTCAATGTTACGAGTCGAAACACAAGAGGCGGATAACTTTCGTGTACCGAAATAGAAATGCCGCTGTTGTCTGTACCAATTAGCGCGTCCTATTCTCAACTTTAATCAAGATCACAAGAAAATTGATGCATTCAAACAACAACATTCAAGTGAACAAGATAATTGAGACGACAACAATTTCTCCTCGTCCTATTTTCTTTTCTTCTTCTATTCATGAATCTATAATGTAATAATACCCCGACAAATAGACTCTGTCAATATGTTCAATGTCAATAAGTGCAATGCATGTCATTGTCATCCAGTATTCTCATAACTATATGTTAAAAAAAATACATTGTTTATACATTACTTCAATATATCTATTTGTTTACTTTCCAAGTAAATTAATCCCGGTCGTTAATAGTTTACAAACAACTTTAAATAGCAATTATAGATAACCTAAATGTAGTTAATTATATATGGAAAATGTATTCATTCAATCTTTTTTTTTGCAAATTTAATTGAATATAATAAACTATTACGTTGTCTGGAACCTCTTTAAAATGGAAAAAAAAAGTGCATTTTAGACTTTGGTACTTTTGTATTACTAGAAAGACACAAATGCCACTAAAGCAATAACTAAGAAATATTCTGCTTACAGAGAAGTTGCTTTAGCTGAAAGAAATGTACGAAACTAATTCTCTAAGTTTAGAGTTAGTGATTTCAGCATTAAAGAAATAATGATGAAATCAAGATATTTATCGAGAATAACCTGCACTTCACGATAAGTGAATTATCAGAGATATTAAATAATAGCTCCTATGTTTCTCTTAATACCTCATAAAACATATTGGAGTCAGAAAGTTGAAAGAACGTTTATTTTTTTTGTCTACATAAAAACCCACTTGAAAAAGTATTTTGACAAAAAAGCCTTATAAATTCTGGAAGTATGCAATGTTTAAGTTGCATGAAAGATGAAGAATAGATTAAACAAATATATATCGATATATAAATGTTTTAATTTTTGTGAACATTCCGGAAAACGCAATACTATTTTAAAAAGTTTGTTTTGCTATACTAAGACACTATTAAATTCCTACAATTAATAATGTTCTTTAAAAACATTATTAGAAATCCACTAACAATTTGTAAATTTTGTTCGTCAACCCAATACTAATCAGTTCAACCTGAATTATTCGTTACCAATCCCCGATTTCAGAAGCTGTTTAAGCTGTATATCGCCATTAACGTTAACTACAAAACTGACGTAAACCGTGAGTGGGTAAGGTGTTCGTAAACCAAATGTTCGTTATGTGATTTATTCACAATTCGAACTGTTCGTTAACTGATTTTGTTGAGTGTAATAAATCTCAAGAAAGATCAAAATAAATATTTTTATTATGTAAATATATTTGATACACTTAACGTTTTTCCAATAATAATAAAAGTCATAAAAACGGCACAAATTTAAAATATCTTAAAATATCTCTCAATATTGTCAATAAAACCTCTGAGCTAATTTTCTTAAAAAAAGTTACTTCTTGTACTTTTAAATATTTTTTTTACATTTTATCTATGCATAATAATTTATGTTGTAATTACATATTGACAAATGTAATTTGTTTGTATGCAAAAAAAAATCAATAAATGTCAATTATTCACGTATTATCTGTGATTAAAAATAATAAACTTTGTTTATGAAAACGTTGTTTTTTTTGATGCAGCATAAAACGCATTTCATGTACGTAATAACGTACATTGATAACATTTATTCATTGAAAAATCACCGTATCTCAATCATTAATTACTATTACGTAACAACTATATCAGTAATTTCTATTACGTCATATCATCAATTGCTCTTACGTACTAATTGGTATATACAAAGTTGCGCAATAAAATATTTCCTCTTATGCAATCATAGCATATAATGTTGAATAGTTTAATTTTTAAAAATAAATATTTTTTTGGAAATGTCGGTAAATCTTCATTAAAAATTTCTATTTCTTTTATGTATTTACATTAAAAGATGCGCAATGTATATGTGATTATTAAAAATCTAATAAGAATTATTTTTTCCTGTTAATGTTGTTGAAGTCATACGAATATAATTCGAATTTGCTGAAAATAAAATTGCTACCAGTTTACGTTTTCAAATAGTTGTTTTTTTTATATTTTTTTTATTTTCGATGTTGGCTTTGAACTAAAAAATATATATATATAAATATAAAATAAATCTAAAGCAGCATGCTTGATGATGCTTCGAAAGCTTTCGTGGCAAAAGGGCATTTGCGGAGAGCACTGAGTTGAGGGTATGAAAAACGAAGTTGCATTGAAAGCAGATGAAAGTAAATAAGGAGAGAAAAAAAATAGTAAAAAGAGAGAACGTGAACTAGTTACTAACGTTCCTCTAGTGCGTATGTGCAGCTATGGGGAGTAAAACAAAAAGAAACGAAAATATAAAATAAATTAATAAAATCAAAATAAGTTTGAGCTAGGGGATTTGCATTCAATAACAATTGTACATACGATCGATCCAAGACGCTTTCTGTCTCCTTGAATCTGCAAAATACATTGATCATACAGTCCTCGGTGTACATTATTAAGAGAAGAGAACAAAAAAAACGAAATGTTCAGACGAAAGCTGTTTTATTCTGTATAAAAAGTTTATTTCGTAAACTGAAAAGAAATCATTTTTTTAAGATAACTAAAATAAAAATTTATATAGAAGTGTTGGTGGAGAAAGAGAGAAAAAAAAGAAGAAATAATTAAAAATAAGGTAAGCTTTCCCGTGAAGGGAGTTATGTACAGGGAGGATAAAAACGATTGTTTCGACGCAGTAATTAATGTTTTGTTTACTGCGGAAAATGTACGTTTTAAGTGTTCCCAAATGGGAACAGGAGGTGTTGGGTAAAATTGCGTTTTTAACGCTCAATAAAACAGCAGCTGAATATAATGTGTACGCAATTACGAAAATATGATCTAACGCTTATTTTCTTTAACAAAATAAATGTATCTTCAAAAACAACAAATATAATCGTTTTATAATCGTAAAAAATATTTCAATTTTTTGGTTGCATTAAAATAAAGTTTATTGTTGTAATTTGTATAATGATTTAGGTAGAATTAAAATATAATTTAGAATTTTCGAAGTAATCAATACAATTCTATTTTGACTGTAAAGATATTAGTTTAATCAAAATATAATTTAGTTTTATTAAGAAAGCAATTCGCTTTGGTACTTTCGTTGAAGGGAGGTGTTGGGTAAAAGCGTTTTCATTAAAGTAATCAATACGCAATTGTGTTTTTGTACTTTCATTTAAAGGAGGTGTTGGGTAAAAGCTTTTTCATTAGTAATTATATTTTGACTATAAAAATTTGTTTAAATCAAAATATAATTGAGTTTTTATGCGCAATTTCATCAAACCAATAAAAAAAATATTTGAAGGGAGATGTTCGGTAAAGGCGTTTTCGTCGGTTTAATCAATACAATTATATTTTGACTGTAACAATTTTGATTTAATCAAAATATAATTTAATTTTTTAACGCAATTCGTTGTGAAAATTACGTTAAAGGGAGGTGTTGGGTAAAGGCGTTATCGTCGGTTTAATCAATAAATCTTGATTTTAATAATTTTGATTTAATCAAATTATAATTTAGATTTTTTTACACAATTCGTTATAGCAATTTAACTAAAGAGAGGTGTTGTGTAAAACCAAAATATAATATTATTTTTTAACGCAATTCGTTGTGAAAATTTCGTTAAAGGGAGGTGTTGGGTAAAGGCGTTATCGTCGGTTTAATCAATAAATCTTGATTGTAACAATTTTGATTTAATCAAAACATAATTTAGATTTTATTTTATCACAATTCGTTGTAGTAATTTAAGTAAAGGGAGGTGTTGTGTAAAACCAAAATATCGTTAAAATGAGGTTGGGTTTTCGTCGGTTTAGGAATAAATTTTGACTGTAACAATTTTGTTTTAATCTAAATATAATTTACATTTTCTTCTACAACAATTGTTGTAGTAATTTAATTAAAAAAAAGGTGTTGTGTAAAAACGTTATCGTCAAACTAATCAATAAAATATTTTTACTGTAATGATTTTGATTGAATAAAAATATAATTTCATTTTTTAACGCAATTCGTTGTAAAAATTTCGTTAAAGGGAGGTGTTGGGTAAAGGCGTTTTCGTCGGTTTAATCAAAACAATTATATGTACGAAATATCTATCAACTGTAGTAAACATGGATGCAGTAAGGAATGTTGTTTTAATTGCAATTTGGAGAATTTACTTTATGTCTGGTAATTGCTGCGTAATATAAATATACTTTTTTTTTGCTCGTCTAGTTTGAAAGAACGGCTTTTAAGTATTCCCTGCGGGAGGGAGGTGTTGGGTAAAACTGCTTTTTGTCCACCTCCGTTCCGAGCAGCGGGAATTTCTCAGCTCTTGAGAGGGGGATAAATTACCGGAGTTCTCCCCCCGGCCGTTCACTTCTTTCTTCTTCACATTTTTTCTCGAATCACCCTCCACCCCATACGTACAAAAATTCTGAAATAAATCGATGCCCAAACGAAATTATCGCAGATTCTTTCATTACATTTTTTTTGCACATCCACATTTATTTTAATTTATTTTCAAATTTTAGTGAATATGCATGATGCAGTTTTTTTCAAATATTTTTATGCCAATTTACAGTGTGAGAAGGAATGGCGAGGAGGTTTGCGAAATTAAAATTGGTTATTCGGTTAGGGGGCGACCCGGGAAATCCGTGGAAAAGCCAATATTGATTTTCCGGGCCGTGACGTAAATGGCGAGAGCTTCGGAAAAGCGCCGCCAGCGGTCAGCACGTTATTAGGGAGGTCGGGGAATTACAGAAAACTGTAAAACAACCCTTGGAAGATTTGAATCTTTCTTTAGGTTTGTTTGAATACTATTTTTTTTCTACAGTTTCAAGTGAATTGTAAGTGGTTGACGTACCTTTCGCTGGCGATGGAAGAGTTCCTCGACATGGACTTGGGGGACATCTCGAAGTCGCTGTCGGATCTGTAGAGGAAACTCTCGCGTCTCTGCGGAAGATTCTGAAGAACGAGACCGGCCGATGGGGATGCAGCCCCATCCAGGGGGCTCCTTCCAGGACTCGCGCCATTCTCTACGTCGAAACTGCAATAAACAACAACAAGAAAATGAGTAAACAAAGAGGTGGTAACATGATATTGCAGCAGACAGATTTGTTTTTAATTGTCAATTACAATAACGCGATGTTTGCTGCGTTCGTTCGCAAGGCTTTTACAATGCAAATATTTTGATAAAAATTTAACGGCTGGGCGTGCGGTGTGTCCGAAAGAAAAAGCCAGGCTCAAATTGGCCGATGCACAAAAGGCCTCGAATCTTTCCATCCTGGAAACTGCGAAGCAAATAATGAGTTATCTGTTCGGTACTAATTCGCACACCTTTTGTACCTGCCCAGCACCATTTGTACAGCCACTTATTACAACCATTTCGGGCTTGATTGTTTAGGCAAATCCAGCACCAATTACAAAAACAAACACGAAAATAAAATCGCTACGGTCGGGCCAATAAATATTTTGAAGATAGTCTAGACCTAGAAGAACGTAATGATGCAACGCGATTGTACTTTCAATCATCATCAGTTTTTTTTATTGGAAGAGCGTAATTTTAACAGATCATCGCTTATCTAATAGTAGAGGAGACGATAAAGGATCGGGAGCGCAATTTCATCAGTTACAACTAAAATAAAACAATAGTTACAGCCTTACATCACTTCAGCGCAATGATTATCGAAACATTGATAAGTCCTTCTAATCGAACGTTAATTGAAACATATTGATTATTGTTATTTTAAACCAAATAGTTTATCTAAAAATATAGATAATGCATCGTTCCAGATACAAATTGCTTTTGTGCTCCCGCATCCGTTTTATTATACCCAAAAAAATATATATATCAATTTAATATCAGCATTCAATCAAACTTCAAGTACATTTTTACTTGAAATTTCAATGAAATTTAAATTTTCTATTATCTCATAGAAATACATACTTTTTTGTATCAATTAATCATTATATAACGAAAAACATCTTATTACTATTACTTCATTCAATCAATCGTCAATTCATTATATATTTATTTAATGTTTCAATTGAATTTACAATTTATATTACCTTATCTCATAAAAAATATTACTGTTTATATCTATCATTTATTAATCATTATTTAACGAAAAAAACGCTTATTAGTATTTTTATCATAGAAACAAAAACTTAAATTTAGATGAAGATTGTATTAGAGTTTGATGGTTTATAAGTCTAAATATTTGCAATTATAATCAATTTAAATATTTATAATATTCAAAAGGAGACTGTCAAATTCTTGGCCCGCGGGCTGCATTTGGCCCCACAAAAAATCGAAAACTTGCCGACTTCATAAGATTGCAACTAATATTACTATTTTGTATATCTATAAATTAATAATCATTATATAATGAATAACAACTTATTCCTATTTCTTAATGATGAAATAAAAATTAAGATTTAGTTGAAGATTGAAATAATATTTAATAGCAATCATATTCAATTTAAACAATTTAAACAAAATAGTAAATTTACAAATTTTAGGAGATTGCAACTAAAAATACCATTTTTTATATCCATAAATTAATAAACATTACATAACAAATAACAGCTTATTCATGTGTCTTTTTAGTATTTAATAAATAAAAATGACAAAGAAATTTGTTAATTTTCGATATTTACTTAAAATATCAATGACATTTATAATCTACCAATTAGTTAACACTAATTTCTTAATATTTATTTTTATAATTAGGTAAAGAATGAAATAATCAAATATTTTCAACAATTAAAGAAACTATTATTTATTTAATCCTCTCAATTAATTATTATTCTGTTTTGATAGTTATTACTTAATGTAGATAAAATGAAGCAAAAAATGTTGTTATAAAGTGTAATAATCCTTAGATTTTGATTGTTTAAAGTATAAATATTTGCGATTTCCGATTAAATAATGTAAAAATAAATAAATTAGTCAATATGTGATTAGTAGCAATTTGCACGTATTAGGTAGTTCGAACTTTAATCCTTCCACGTTTAAGAATATCCTGAAACGTACACGCTATTCGGCGCCAAACGTTCTTCCATCAATTAATGGTCATAAAGAAGTGTTAACTAAATCCAAACAATATTTTCCATATACACGCGTCGGAATTATAAAAAATATACACAAATCTTAAGGTCGATCAACAGCTGTTCAGGATATACCAGCAAGAAATTTCGTTTGATTTTTAACTTAGAAAGAAAAAAATCTATTAATAACTTTACGCGCTAATTTACATCCAGAAAAAATACTTCTAAACACGAATTAACTTTGATAAATATAGAGAAACACCATGTTAACAACTTTATCGATAGAATGTATTAACATTACGCCACATTATTGCATGATTCTAATTAGAAATTGGTGTGATGTTTATCGTGAACCGGTGATAACCTTTCATCTATATCCGCGCGCGAATCACATAAAAAAAAGGAACACGTTACAAATCTCTTGTAGGATTAACACATAAAAACATTTAATATTAATTAGAAAGAGGGAGAATTAACAACGTCACTCACGGATTAACAATCGTAATGTATCTTTGAATGCGCCTGGGAATGAAATCAGAGTTTCTTCTGCGCTCGTGACGGATGTGATGGTAGCGCGTCTGAATCTCCATCATCTGGATAACAACGTCTGGTGGATGATTTGTTGTGTGTCACTGCAGACTTGCATTCGGAGGAAAACCGTGCGCGTTTTCGATTGGTTAATTTGATTAATTCGCGGATTTGTTGGAAATTTTGCATCGGTATAGGATTATTAATCGACGGGCAACGGTGCGACGATGAGCTCCGTATCGTCTGCGATCAATTGCTCAAGTTATCCCGAAACGCGGTTATAAACTGGATAAGATAATGTTATTGTAGATAAACAGTTTACAACGAGCGTTATCGCCGCGAAATCGCTGTTTAAATACATTCCCGACATTCTGCCATGTGTATGATGAATTTCGATCTAAATGAGTTTCATACTATAGTATACTATCAATATTTTCGTTGTTGGGTTTTTAACTATAAACTATTTCATCGAATTATGAACTATAGAAGTAGATAAACGTCTCTCAGCACAATTTGTCACAAACCACTATTAGTTATCAACTGGAAGGTGCAATTTCATATTATATAGAAACTTATCAAAATTCGACTTATCACTATTTCAACTTATGTCATAAATTCCACGAAATGTTTTATTGAAAACATAAATCTTTCTCAGACATACCAACTACTAATAGTTATTAGAGAGTGTCATGACACTAATAATGACATTATATAGAAACTTCTAGAAATTCGACTTACTAATAGTTATCATAGAGTGACGTGGCATTCAGAATGACAGCTGCAATCAAATTATATCAAAACTTCTCGAAATTAGGCTTAGTACAATTTTGAGTTACGTGTTATATATCTCAGACGTACCAACTACTTATAGTTATCATAGAGTAATAAAATACTCAGAATGACAGCTGCAATTTCAAATTATATCAAAACTTCTCGAAATTCGGCTTACTACAATTTTGAGTTACGTGTTATATATCTCAGACGTACCAACTACTTATAGTTATCATAGAGTAATAAAATACTCAGAACGACAGTTGCAATTTCAAAAACTCCCGATTTACAGCCATACACACTTCAAAAAATCATTAAAAATAAGAAATAAGAGCTATTAATTTGAATATATAAGTATACCTGTAAGTAGAAAAGTGACTGTATTGACATATGAATTAGTTAGTATCATGTTATAATCTTGAACACTTTTCATAGTTATTATTGCAAAAAACTTTAAAAGTTTGACCTACAACTGATAGTAAATTATGATAATATTGATTTGTTTCTTTTCGAAAGTTATTTTGATATAGTTTCTAGAGAAGTTTTACTAATTATTTTAAAAAGATTTTGTAGGTAATAAATCAATTTGTCGTAATGGTAATATTGGTAATTTCTTTTATCATAGAAAATAATCATAGTTTTGAAAAGAAATGTATTAAGAGTAGTTTTAAAAACGATTATGAAAAGATTTAATAGATAATGACTGGAATTGTCATACTGGAATCCATTGACGTTTCTAGTTTTTGGTGTAAATTAATTATAAAAGGTGTTTCGCGTCCTTTAAGTGCATTTATATTTGATTAATTTGGTTGGTAGTTTGTTACGGACCTTCCGGTTGTTCTGCGACGATCGTAGGATAGAGGGAATCTGCGTGTGTGTCTGCGAACCTGCGAAGACCTTGCTGAAGACCTTCTACGACGCGCAATGATTTCTGAGTGCCGCCTGGAACTATCGGAGGAGATGACGCTACCGGCAGATGCAAAGGAGGCGCGGGAATCTCCCGAGTCGACCTCGTGTTCAGGGATGGCTTCGGAGTCGCGTCGTGACATGTCTGAAGACCAAAGACTAGTCACGCTGGCTCTAGAGTCTATTGACCTCTGTCCGATGATCTCGTATCTTCGACTGGACGTGGAGTATGATGATATGCTGGTGACGGAGGGTCGGCTGTCGTTGCCAATCTCTATGGAGGAGTCGCGCGAGAAGGCCGAGTATCTCGAAGATATCGAGGCGCGGCTGTCGTTGGAGAAGCGTGTGATGGATGAGAGCTCGCTGGGATGCTCCAAGTCCTGGGGACTTAGCGGAGGTGATAGATCCGGGCTGGGGAGGACGGCGATCTCTTCTAGGCTCCTTCTTTTTGCTTCTGCCTCGGACGGTGGGGTGTGCCTGAGGCCCCGAAACAACGACCACAGCCAGAAGAGTATCGTAAACATGTCGCACCCCCATTCACCTGTCCCTCAGCATCGTCTTCAGTGTGTTGTCGGGTTTAGTGTGTCATTGGGACGAGGAGCAACAGTGGGGCTATTGATCGCTTCCAGGCCTCCTTCCCGACGTCTGCCACAAGTCAGCTGTCCGGCTCTCCTCTCCGCTCCTCTCCTCATCAACAACACCCCCTCGAAGCATGCGTGCCGAAAATATTAAAAAGTCGGAAACGGAAGAGTCTCGAACGAACGATCACCGCCGCGCCACCAGGAACCAAAA